TTTTGAAACAAGCAATGCTGATTAAAGTCATAATTTGTTGTTATCTTTGTATTTCATTTTACATTTTTATTTTCCAGTTGTGTCCACAATTTCTGTCCTCAACATGATTGTGACAAATGTAACAACAGTGAGTGGCTTCTTCCTCCTGGGGTTCTCTGACAGCCGGGAGTGGCAGATCCTGCACGCTTTGATCTTCTTGGTGTTGTACCTGTTGGGATTGGCAGGGAACTTCATCATCATCACCATCACAACGATGGACCTGCATTTCCAATCTCCAATGTATTACTTCCTGAAGCAACTTTCCCTTCTCGACCTCTCCTCCCTTTCTGTCACTGTCCCCCAATCTATCCACAATTCCCTGACTGGCAGTGGATACATTTCCTATGCTCAATGTGTGCTGCAGGTTTTCTTCTTCATATATTTGAGCTGGGCTGAGGTGGCAATTCTCACCGTGATGTCCTACGACCGCTATGTGGCCATCTGCCTTCCACTGCACTATGAGGTCATTATGAATCCCAGAATGTGCAGATGGGCTGTGACAGCTGTGTGGCTAAGTGCAGCCATCCCAGGAACCCTGTGCACAGCAACCACATTCTCTATCAGATTCTGCAGGGCCAAGATAATCCACCAGTTCTTCTGTGATATTCCCCAATTTCTTAAGCTCTCCTGCTCCAATGATTACCTGGGAGGAATTGGGGCAGTTGCTTTCACTGCTTTTGTGGGAACTTTTTGTTTCACTGCCATTTGCCTCTCCTATGTCCAGATATTCTCTACAGTCCTCAAAATGCCCTCTGCTGAAGGTAGGTCTAAAGTTTTCTCCACCTGCTTGCCCCACCTCTCTGTCATCTCATTTTATATTTCCACTGGCATCTTTGCATATCTAAAACCAAACTCAGACTCTCCAACTGCCTGGGACATCATCATCTCCATGTTTTATACAGTATTACCCCCAACACTCAACCCTATTATTTACAGTCTGAGGAATGAGGCCATGGAAAGAGCTGTAAGAAAGTTACTGTTAAGTGATAAATTCCCTGGCAGAAAATTAGTTTTGTCTTGTTGTCCAGAGATTGCAACAGTATGAAGAATTATTTTTTTATTAA